GTCGTACCTAGAAAGGCTCTCAATGATGTGTACTGAAGCTGAACTTGAAGAGGATGGCTTCACTGAGCGCTTCAAGTTTGACACCACACCTCCTAGAAGGGTTGTGATGCGCAACACACCATCACTTGAAGACTCTGAGTTTTCTTCATCTGCTGCCACAGTCACTGCCAGAATCATTGATGAAGAAGACGATGCTACATCACCGCCACCTGCTTCAGCACCTCCCAGCTCTTCTGCACCGCCAAGCACCTCCAACGACCCTGCTGCTCCTGAGAACGAGTAGACACTCTATGTCTCCAAACCTTTTTGGTCCTTGCTGACAAAAGGGGGAGAAGCATATTGGTTGATAATCTTCAAGCGGGTCCATATGGGCGGGTGCTTTATGTTTTGCTATATATTGCTTCGTGCTTACAACTCTCGTTTTTGCTTCATTTGGTTCTTTGAGTTGTAACACTAAAACTCGATGGTCGTCTGCTACTTGTTTGCCACCCTGTTTTGTGAAGATAAATTCCGCATGTGCGACGATAAATTCCGCACTTATCTCATTCCGCAGACGTCCATTTTCCATTATGCATGTCATTATCTTCATATATCTTCACATGCATAGTGGATTGTCATCATAAGCTGAAGTGCATCTCCACAAGTACAACCTGCCATGTGCATTTGCATTCCAAAAACAAATTAACTTGTATGCACATCTTCAGGGGGAGCCCTTGCAACTTATGAAGACAATTCCTTATCCTTTACAATTTCACAGACTATATTCCCCGTTGAAAACTTCAACTGGTTTGTCATCAATCACCAAAAAGGGGGAGATTGTAAGTGCATCTAGTGCCACCCCTAGTTGGTTTTGGAGTATTGACGACAAACCTAGTTGAGGGACTAATGTGTTTGTGAGAATTGCATGATAGCACAGGTAGAAGTCCCTCATTGATTCGGTTTTACTATCAGAGATGACCCCTAAAAATGTATGAAGACATTAAAGTCAAAAGTGGTATATGAAGATATTCATATTGAAGACTATGACAAAAGAAGACACGTTATGAAGCCTATGGAGCTCGAAGACTTAGATCTTTCGTAGTTCTTTTCCTTTGTGTTGAGTCATAGGAACCACCGTACTGTTAAGTGGGGTCCAGGAGAACCAGTTAGAATGACTGAAGTGATGCCTAAACCAAAAACCTATGTCTTCGAGTGAAGACAATGAGAGCGAATCTTGTCCAGAGCCGGACAAGTCAGCTTTGCTTGTAGCCCAAGTAAAGTTGCCATGAGAGTTTGAAATCTGACTGTTGAGACACGTGTCAATTCCTTAGTGACTCAGGGTCATTTCGGACAAATCAGGTCGGGTTGCCAAGTGGCTATAAATAGCCCACCCCCTACAACCATAAACGGTTGGCTGCTCAGATTTCAGTGCACGGCTTTTGTCGTTTGAGAGCAACCCACTTCGAAGCCTTTGAGAGAAAATTCCTAGCGAGGAGAAAAGCCCTAACCACCCAGAGCCAGAGAACATTGGGCATCACTTAATTCTTCTTGTCTGTGTGATCTGAAGACTTATTACACTTGAGGACTATGAATCCTCCAGACGGTTAGGCGTCGCGTTCAGAGCATCCAAGAGACGTTGTGGATTGCCAGTGAACGAAGTCTGTGAAGGTTTGGCAGTCTACCTTGAAGACTTACCAGAGTGACTGGGCGAGGACTAAGTGACCTTTGCTTAAGGAGAATACGGTGAGGACTTGGTGTCCTGAGCTGCGTGTTCAGGACTGGGTGTCCGGAACTGTGTGTCCTAAGGTTTAAATACCTAGCCGCTCCAACCAGACGTACAGTTGTCACAGCAACTGGAACTGGTCCAACACATCATTGTCTTCAACGAGTCACTGGTTTCATCTTCACTTACTCTTACTTACTGTTACTCATTGTGAAGCCATTGCATGCTTGCTATATCTTTTGTCTTCACAATGTAACTGTATGATTTGTTTGGCTTCATAATTTCTTCCTACCTAATCCTTGTTACACTACAGCTACTTGTCATTGTGCTTTCACTCTATTGAATACTTGACCATGGCTTGCCTAGTGTAATTTAACTTCCGCTGCATAGTGATAGACATATCTCTACTGTTTGTCTTCATAACTTTCACGTTTTGAAGACTTTCATAAAAATCGCCTATTCACCCCCCTCTAGTCGATATAACGTACTTTCAGTATAGTACTTTATGTAGCCATTTTCTCAAGCAAAAGAGTACGGGTTATTGGACCGCTACGATGTAGACTTTCTATTGCCCCCAATTTTGACAGCTTCCTACCAAAACATCGTACAGATTCTACTCAAGATTACCAACATCAAGTTTAGGTGCTCCAAAGTCATGCATCGTACTACTACAGATGCTCCTAAGGCATGCATCGCAGCATGTCAGTTCAGTGCGTCAAAATGGATCGCATTAGCAAGACCAGGCGAGTGATGCGTCCGGTCCAATGAAACCCTTTTAAGGGAGCATAATGGCCCGGTTGACACTGAGATTCTAAAGCAGCAGTAGCAACCCCGGCAGAGTGGACTTGGCACTGAAAAGTGACAGTGCCACTTAGAATCAAAAAGGTGCAGCAAAGCACATACAAATATCAAAAAGATTGGATTCATCATAGCTGAATGGTTACATACATACAGTGATTAACTTTGTCAAAAACATTTATACTTTATACCACATAGAATTCCTTAAAATTTGTATTTTTCAGTATGTTGAGCCCATAGACGTCGAAGCAATTTCCTCCCGTGTCACCCCCGCTTGGGCGGCGCCAGAGGGCCCCTCAACCCTAGCCAGCACCAGCCTTAGGCCGACCTCACTGGCCGCCGGCACCGGTGGCGGCACTCGTCTCGCCAAAGGCAGAGGGTTGAGGAGGCACGCAACGACGGTGCATTGAGGCGAAGATGCATAATGGTCGACGCGTGCTGATGGTGGGATGTGGAGGACAAGGCGCTATGGTGGCGGCACTCGGGGTGGGCGGATTGAGATGTGGTGGCCATCGGCATGACCACGTCATCCTCCATGGCCGGTGATGGTGGAGGAGGGCTTCTTGGGTCGGAGGAGGAAGCCACGACCGCAGGCGGAAGCCAATCGCCCACCGCAGCCGCGCCCGGCTTTGAAATTTTGGCCAGCCGAGGTTGGTTCGCCGTCGGGTTGCGCCCTCGCAACGTCGGCCACTTCACGCCTCCACCGCGTGGCTTGACGGCCTACTACTTCTTCGCAGGCGGCTCCGGTGCGGCGGCGACCGGCCAAGGTGGGGTGAATCCGATGCGGCAGCATGGCGGCAACGGCATGGAGGCAAAGGCCGCATTGGGGGCCGTGGTCACGCCGACGGCGGCTGCGGCGAGGTGGGTCAAACCAGCGGTGGTGGTGCCGAAGGACACGACGGGGTCATCAGCGGCGGCCATGGCGGCAGCGGGTGACGGGCGGGCGGCAGGCGAAAGCCGAATGAAGGCAGTTGGACAGTTGGCACACGACCAACCGTTTACATCTCTGGGAGGTGGTGATGTAAATCTTTTTTGAATCTACATCGTTTGTTGGCGGTGGATTTTTAGGCCTCGGAGATGCAAAACTTAGTTATTTTTACATCTACATCATCCATTGGAGATTCTCTTATGATGCTGAATGTTGAGGGGACTTTTTTTTAGTTTATGTGTACACCTCATAGTCGTATATATATATATCCTCTTGCTTTTTTCACATGATGGCAAAGTTCATGCCATTTAATTTTGTGATCTCAAATGCTTGATGTTAACTTTTTTGCTAATTTTTTGGCCAGCCTTTAGGTATTTTCAGGTTGTTGGTGAACCAGGCATGTTCAATCCATAAGATATTGTTGTGTATAGAATGATGGTGATGTAAGTCATCCGATTGCTTGTGGATTGATGAAAGACTTTTCCCCTGTGATTTATAATCTTTGTGCACATCTATCGAATTCTTCAATCAAATACTTAATACCAGTCCACTATGTTCTTTCTCCGTTCAATCAACATTTGTAGCCTACAAAATATATGCTAGAAACTATCAAACAGCTGCATTGTCCCGTAAAATATGTGCTTATCAAACAACCGCAATATATTTTCTGCAGGAAGAAAGTTACATAATAATTTCGGTGGGTGACCTAAAACATATTGTATTTGTTTACAGAAGGAGTAATTTATTTGATTTTGGTTTGATTGGGGTGCGTCTGCCCAGGCTATAGTGCAACGCCCAGGCAACGCTTGAGGGCTCAGCAGCAAGCCACTAAACCCTCCCCACAAAAAATTAACTTAATATATCTCATGGATCCGTAGATTCATGTATCAGATATTAAACTGATAAGAACAGATACTACACTTGATCTTAGCCAAGAGGCCGAGAAAGGTATGGTTTAAACCGTGGCCTTGTGTCCCCTTTTATTGCCCTGCAAACCGCCTTCGCTCAAGCGCAAAGCAATACGGGACTATTCCACCCAAAGAGTTAGCTGCGTTCGTTTCTTTCCGTTTGGGCTATTCCAAGAAGCCCGTGAACAAGGTCGGGCCCCACAGGCATCGATGGCCCAGTTTGTTCGGCTTGGACGAATTGGGCTACTACTTCTTAGCTGGCGCACCAGATTAGGCAAAAAAAACCGAGATTTTCTTTCTCCTAGAACAACAGAGGTTCCCTTGTTCAAAAATAAAGGACTAAGTGAGATTAAATAAAGCATTCTTTGTAAAAAAAAACTGAGATTCCCAATTTTTCTCAAAAAAAAAAAACCCTGAGATTCCCAATTCCCAGAGTAACTTTGTTTTCTTTCAGACAACAAGCTGAGGTTCAGATGATATATAAAGAAACTGATGTGAGATTCGTAGCTTCACGTGCCAACGACTCTCTGCTGTAAACAAGTACAAAAGCACCCTGATTCCTCTCTCACATGGAAGAAGTCCAATCTATCTAAGATCCAAGCAGAACCTGAAGATCCAAGCAAAATCTGAAGATCCAACCAGTGAAAGAAAGGATGCACGCTGGCTAGACAAAAGAAGACTGAAGCAACATCCCTAAAAAAAGGACTGAAGCAACAATATGCAGCGTCGACGCAAAGCCAACATACCGTTTTCCTGCTTGTAACCCGTCGCAACCAGTGTCGATATTCTTTACGCATTGCCACTTCAAAGGATCTGCCAGTCGGTGCGTACTGCCAGCAGCAATATGTTTGTTTAGTTGCTGAAAACATACATGGTTAGTCACCAAATTCCAACTTTCTTTTGGTTAGCCAATGAGGTAAAAGTCCACTCTTGTTGAGCTGACGCCTCATAAGGTGCCGTGTCGCTGTCGGGCAGTAACAAATGAGAAAGCAAACTGGGAAGATCCAGGGTGGATGTGCATCATAAGAATGGGTACCACAAGACAGATTTGCCCTTAAATTTATGTTGGCAGTTGGGAACTAAAAGGTCATTCTCAAATCTATGGAAGGCCACCTTCCAGCTACTTGCTCCCCAGCAAGGGTTGTCCTGATTACATGAATATGCTGGGTTGGCAACTAACCATGAGTATGCTGGTCGCGAGAAAGGAAGAGGAACAAATGTGTGTAGATACCTGTTATTTTTCTATACCACTCTAAAATCCTGATTTACAGATAACCAAAAGGATGGGGTTTTGTTATCTTTCGTCTTTACAGATTTACATCGGATGTTGCATTTAAAATCAATGTAAACTCTAGTTTCAAAAAAAAAAATCAATGTAAACTAAAATTATTTGTGGTGAATAAGTTTGATTTGTAGGCCAGTAAACTTGGGAGAGCCAAACTAAGAGTTACCAAAGTCAGCCGGGAGACATGCCCCTGTATTTTGTGAAATAACTGGATGATTGAACCATTTCAGTACTATCTACCAATGACTTATACCACAGGGTGAAAAATAATACGGTACGCTTTCATGCATTAAGAACAGAAGGGTACAAGTAATCAGGTGGTTAGCTATCAGTTGGTATAGTAGTACTTTACGTAGCCATTTTCTTAAGCAAAAAAGTACGGCCTATTGAATCGCTACAATGCAGACTTAGCATTGCCCCAATTTTGACAGGCCGCCTACCACTCGCACCAAACAGTGCACAGATTCTACTCTAAGATTACCAACATCAGGTTCAGGACAACTAACATGTCAGTTCAGTGTGTCAAAATGGAGCACATTGGCAAGACCAGGTGAGTGAGGCGTCCAGTCCAATTAACCCCTTTCAAGGGAGCATAATGGCCCTGTTGACTCTGAGATTCTAAAGCAGCAGTAGCAACACGGGCAGAATGGACTAGGCACTCAAAAGTGACAGTACCACCTCGATACGAAAAGGAGCAGAAAAGCACATGTGATCATCAAAAGCTTGGATCCATCATAAAAAGTTGGCCATGGACTCTCCACAGCAGCCCAACACGAGGTTTTTCCCAGGAGAGCACCAGGATCCAGGCCCCCCCTGTAAAGCACTACAATTCTAAACTTGCCCAGAAGTGATGCCTGAAGAGGCGCCGGCACAAAAGGCAGACATCCCCTACCACATGGTTACTCAACTCAGGTCATCTATTTAGTATCAAATCATGCTGACTAAGCGCCTATGATTGCGCATGTGAGTAAGAGTGCAAGACAGTTCTTGTCAAATGTCAATTTAAGATTTGCCATCACCTTTTTCTTTCCTCCACGGAGAGCTTTATACATAATTATTAGCAAGTGACAAAGGCGTAGACTAGAACGTGTACCGGACGGAACGATAAACATATCTCAGGGCACAAGGTTAGGTGGTTAACAGAACCCTTTGCATCTAAGCAAGAACCTAAAACAAACTCACCGAACTTTCTTCCGGGATTTGTAATGGAACCCACCGGGTGGGGACGGCGAGAACTCTAGCGGGAGGTGAGGCGGCTCTCCCTCGCCGGAGAGCAACCGGAGCAACTCTTCGCTTGATGGCCGGCGAGCAGGGGCCCTCTGTATGCAGAGGAGCGCGACGGTGATGCAGAGCAGTGCCTCCTCCTGATTAACATCTTTCAAGGCCGGGTCGATGAGATCGATAAGGCGACTCACGCGCGCGAGGTGCTTTGCCCACGATATGAGGCTCGCCTTCTCGAACTCCGACATGGGTGAGGCCGACACTTGCAATGGCCGGCGGCCAGAGATAAGAACCAGTAGCAGGACACCATAGCTATAGATGTCACATCTCTCGGACAAAGGACCGCCGCCACCGTACTCCGGAGCGACATAGCACACGGTGCCACGCATGCTCGGCGTGCTGCTCACCGCGCCTCCGCTCTTGGGCACGAAGTCCCCACTTGCCCAATCACGGCTGCTTCTCGCGCCATTGACCCACCAGTTGATGCTCCCATTGACATTGCCAGTGCCATTGCCATTGCTAGCGCTGCTGCTGCTTCTTCGGCTCCAGCTCTTCACCACACTCCACTTGGACCGCCCCTTGCCGTCCAAGTCATCATCAATATCACGCTCCCACCATTGCAGCCCGGCCTGCTGGCTCCTCGATTTGGCAAGCGCCCTGCGTTTCTGCTTCTTTGCAAGCTCATCGGTGTACTCCTCGCGCCACCACTCGCGTGCTCTGCGCTTTTGCTTCTTCCTCTCTGTCCCCGGGTTGGTTGCAGCTGCCCCTGCAATCCAATCATTTTTGGGGCGCTCCTTCTTGATCTCCGATCTGATCCACTCCATCACATAATCCTTTACACCGCCATGGCTGGGTCCGGCATTGTCCTGCCGCCACCACCAGTCGCTCCCGGTCCCCGACGCGCCGCCGGTGCGTGAACCGACACCATTGCAGCTGCGGCTGTTCAGACCACTGTCGAGACTGGTCTGGTCAAACCCGGAAGTGGATGCAGCCTCGTCCGGCGACGGCAGCGTGAATCCGCCGCCGCCGTCGTCAACCTCCGGCGACTTGGGGGCGACGTTCACTTCCCCATCTACCGTCGTGGTGACCGTGCTCTCCGCCACAACAGAGACGTCATCGTCGCACCCCCCATCAAGAGCGTTCTCATTCGCATCAGTGCCCTCCGCAATCGCGCCGCTCTCCAGCTTGTCGTCCGGGTCGGGGTCGGAGTTGACGCGCGCGAGGCCGAAGTCGGCGAGGCGGGCGCGGAGGCCGGCGTCGAGCAGGACGTTGCTGGGCTTGACGTCCCCGTGCACGACGGGCGGCTTGAGCACGCAGTGGAGGTAGTGGAGCGCGGCGGCGACGTCGCGCGCCACGGCGAGCCGGCGCGGCCACCCGGCCACCAGCTCGGGGCAGCGGCGGCCGAGCAGCGCGTCCTGCAGGGAGCCGCCGGGCATGAGGTCGTAGACCAGCACCATCCGGCGCGCCCGCCCCTCCCCCCGCCTCGGCATCGAGTAGGCGAACGGGAGCAGTATGGAGTCGCGCGCCGACGCCGCCGCCGCCGGTGCCGCCGCCTTGCCCTCGACGTCGTCTGCTGCGGGGCCGGGGGAAGACGCGGCCTTTTCGGCGGCGGCGCGGATGTGGGAGGCGACGACGATCTCGTTGTGGAACTCGCGCTCGCCCTGGAGCGACCCGGCGGCGTCCATGACCTTGACGGCGACGGGCCGGCCGCACGCCCCGCCGGTACCGCGGGGGGGCGGGAGGACCCCGCGGAACACGGGGCCGAAGCCGCCCTGCCCGAGCTTGCCCCCCGGCGCGAAGGCCCCCGTGGCGCGCCGCAGCTTGCGGTACGACAGCCGCTCCAGCGCCCCGTCTTTCCCCTCCTTGGCCTTCTCCCTCCGGCGCGCCCTCCTGCGGCGGAGCCAGAGCAGCAGCAGGGCGAGCGCCATGGCGACGGCTACGAGCGCGCCGGCGGCGGCCGAGGCGGCGACGGCCGCGGAGTGGAGGCGGCGGAGCTGGCGGTCGTGGGCGTGGGCGTGGGCGCGGGGGGAGAAGAGAGGGGCGGGGGAGGGGAGCGGGGGCTGGCGGGAGGGCATCGGCGGGGGCGGGGGCGGGGGCGTAAAGCGGGGCGCCTTTCTTGATCTTGCGATCCCACCATGGGGTTGGGGCTTGGTCGCCGAGCTGGAAGTCTTCGGCGGACGCAGATATTATTTTCTGCTTCGGTTTGGGTTTGGGTTTGTTTTTGTTTGGGGATGGCGGAAGGAAGTCTGTGATGGCGAGATGCGCTGTCGCTGTCTCTTAACTCTCAACCACTCTCCAGCGATTGCGGTGACCCAACGGAAGCCCGCGACCTGGCTCCCCTCCGCGCTTCTACCGCTTCGGGCTTCGGATCGGGCTTCCGTCCGACGCCCGCCCACATGCGCGTAGATGGGCTTGCGAAATATGATGATCCAACCGTACCCTATATCAAAAGATTTATATCTGAGCTTGACATGTGCAAGGAAAGTCGCCCAGCAGCGCATGCACCTTCCGCAAGAGGGCCAAGACGATCACCAAGAATACAGCCACCGGGTTTTGCAAAGATCCATGTGGACGCGGGAGTTCGTTCGGGTAGAAGAGGAACAGCGGCGGCCGTCTGCAGGATAGACAAGGGAATTTCTCAGCAAGTTCATCATTGGTGATCCAAGGTCTTGATGATCCAGCCACCCTTGAAGCGATCGCATGTCGTGAGGCATTGGCGTTAGCCGAGGACTTGCATCCACAGAGCTTCATTGTGGCATCGGACTAAAGACAGGTTATCTCAGATATCAACAAGAATGCTCGAGGGAGATATGGTGCAATCATTAGCGAGATTCGCCTTCAGGCAGTGGCGAATCTTGCACAAAATTGAAGGGTATGCTCAAAACATCAAGTTTCTAAGTCTACTGAGCAAATTCATTGCAGTTTACATGTTAAACACCTTAGTATAATTCTCAAGTTGCATGTTTAGCTGAAATATGATTTTTGGAGGGTAGGCTTCAGCCTATTGAAGCCCCCCTAGTGGAATCGCCACTGCCTTCAGGCAGAACAATTTCAATGTCTTTTTACTTTTGAGCGTAGGGAAGTGAATGTAGAAGCTCATAGTTTAGCTAAATTTTCTTTATCTCTAGATCCGGGACGCCATTTCTGGTTTGGCCAATCCCATGATCTAAACCGTATCTCACATGTTGTGGATTTTGATGAATAAAGACTAGTTCTACCCCTCAAACAAAACGTACCCTATAAAAAATGCTGAAACTGACAAGTGAGACCGGGACTGTACCATTGCACTACATGAATATATTGAGAGAGTTGTCCGGTTAATTTGAGACAAATATAAGATAAGCACACAACCATCCGTTACACAGCACGACGCCCATACGACCGAGGTAGCATACGCTCACGCAAACTCAATGCACATCATCAGAACCAGTGGCGGTGCTAGAAATATTGTCTTGTGTAGTCAATATGAAGTTGTGTGGTCAAATGTATGAATTTACACAAATTTATTCTAATATTTCTACACCTATACGCTAGTTTCACCAAAAAGCTTGTACGTGGCTTCGCCACTGATCGGAACAACCCCAAGCCCGTGTTGCACACAAAAAACAGCGGCATTACCATCGCCCGTCGTGTCCATGACCTGGCCACTGACTTAAAATCAGATGTTGGTCCTAAGCGAAGAACCTTCAAAGAATAGATTGATATCAATGCCGACAAAGCCATTGCGAACGGGCACCTGCATGGTGAAAATGATACAAAAGTGTCGATGTTGTCATATCCGGGGAAGCCACATATATGGACTTCCCACAAAGCATCTAGAAGAGTGCAAGAAAGAGTACTGTGTCGACGCCTCCATGAGATGAACAATGCCCCCGGCATATCATCACCGCTAGCATTGCCCATGGTGGAGATAAGTTTCACCCACGCACAAATTTAACCTTTTATCGGTCTAGAGGAGTAATCTACCCAAATCAATGAACAGTCTCATAGTTAGACTGGCAAGCCCCGCATGTTGTCGAGCATTGCCGTTTAACCATCTCCACCACCTTAACAATCATGGCATAAGCCTGTAGCGTCGCCATGCACCGCCCGCTGTCATGTCACTCCACTCCAGATCAAGGAACGGAATCACGATGACTGACGTGCACACCCTCTATCCCCACCACACCACCAAAATCAGCGCAACTCATACCGCACAGAGGTACCACCATCGACCCGTTTCCATACGCAGCATCCCGGTGGTCGCCATGGCACGCAACACATACACATAGAGTTGCCGCACCTCCAAGATCCGTGGAGCCTATCTGTCTGCCTCGCGAAGCCAACTCATCGTCGCCCAACACACGAGCATCGTGTCTCCGTCCGGCGAAATGTGCTCGTGGAGAGACCCCCATTGTCGCGGTCCATTGTTGATGACTTTGTTGGGCGTCATCCGCCGACAAACAAAAAGGAAAGGAGGAGGATGGTGGCAGCTAGAGTTCCACCTTCCGAGTCACCCATGGGATTGTCACGGGGCCTAGGCCGAAACAAAAGACAAATTCATTTCCCAAACAGTGCACAAGATTATCTCGTTGCCCTAAATAAGACTTAGGTTCCAACCCTTCTTTTTGTTTCCCCTATACACTTGAAACTGCGAAAATGTGAGCTTAATTTCTTGTTTCAGAGTTTACTTTTTTTTGCAGGGATGTTTCAGAGTTTATACTATGAAAAGAAAAGAAAGCATCACTTCTCAGGAACTTGTCATTCATATTTACCAACAAATTCCCCATGCTTTCTCTCCGTATGGGAGATAGCGAGGCCATCCATCATGCTTGGTTTCTAATGATGATGTGGGAATCGTACTTTTGTCCAGAGTATGGCCTCCTTTGGTTCATAGAGTAGGAAAATTATAGGAATAAAAAAGTCATAGGAAATGAGATGACATGCATCTCAAATCCTATAAGTAGGAATAGGAAAGGAGATGTCCTTTGTTTCACATTATAGGATTTTTTTTCATCGAGTCTAGGCTAATGTTTATTTTTCTATGAAATATGAAGAATAGGAAGAGTTCCTCTATAAAAATAGGATTCCATTCCTACAAACCAAAGAGCTCTACAGAAATTTTTCCTGTAAAAATCCTACTCTATGAAATTCCTACAAAATTCCTCCAAACCAAAGAAGCCTATATTTTGTTCTCATCGACAAAGTGAGATTCAATTGGGATCTGTGGCGAGCTTTGTAGGTTCACGTGCCAAACGGCCGCTCTTTCCGAGCACGGTACCATCGGGAAGATCCAAACAAAAGGCCGAGTAAAACTAGTGCCAAGTAGTGGCAGATAAATCCAACCATCCATCACCTTATAATATGATGCCCAGTCAAAGAAGCGATGCACGCTGGATCGGAACCAAGGAAAACCGGAGCAGAAACCTACACATGCGCCGAGCGGACGTGTAGATGGAACGAAAGAGTTGTGATAAAAAATGGTGAGCCGCTGTAGAACCAGTGGCGGTGAGGGGAGGCGCGAGTACAGACGAGAGGCTGCGGCCAGATGCAGCAAAGCAAGCTGGGTTCGAGCGTCCCGCTCCACACTGGGCTGCGGCCGTACGATGATGACTGCACTGCTGCAGCCGTGGTATACTACAGTGTAACAGAATCTCCCTAGCTAGTCTTCGGCTAATGAGCTGGTCCTTCGGGAGCTGGTTAGCCACGATGGAGCTGCGCGTTCGTGCTGATCAACACAGTGCAGTTTTCGTGTGGCATCCTATCTTTTGTCTCTTACACTGAACCACGACCAACATGCCCGGGCATATAAATCCATCATCATCTTACATTCCCAGTCAAAAAAGGATGGATCCACGCTGGATCGCAAGAAAGAAGAAGCGGAGCAAGCCCACCTAGCGTGGGTGGACGGGACGCCGAGCCGAGCCGACATGCGGCGGGTGTGACGGAGCAGGAACGGAACGGGAGTGCTGTGATAAAAGAATGGTGCGCTCAAGAACTAGTTCCATCGTCCATGCGTGGTGGCAGAGGTTGCGGCCGGGCGCAGCAAAGCAAGCGAGCTGGACTCAACGGGCGTCTCGCTCCAGACATATGACACGGAGCTCCGGTGCAATGGAAGGGGCTAGCGTGCTTTAGAAGGGGGGCGTGACTGACTGCGAGGACATGTCCCTCTTCTACACGGGTACTTCACGCTGGTCTCTGAACCCTGAAGCAACGCTGCAGTGGCCATGGCGGTCTGGACAGTGCAAATAAGACTGTGGCCTACAATTTGTTATAGGGACTCCGGGGTTGTAAACTGTTTACATGCCACAAGAACTTTTTACATGCTGTTTCATATAATGAACACAAGCGCTATGGACTTAACCAAGGTCAAGATTGTAATCTTTGTTTTGGTTGGGGTGCGCCTGTTCCAAGCACTAGTGCAACGCTTGGCCGGCGCATGAAAACCATCAATGTAGCGAGCTACACAGATAAATTCTCTTCCATAAAAAATAACTTAATATCTCATGAACCCGTAGGTTCACGTATCAGATATTAAACTGATAAGAACAGATACTACACTTGATCTTAGCCAAGAGGCCGAGAAAGGTATGTCTTGAACGGTGACCCTGCGTCTGATTATATTGCTCTACGATCCGCCTCTGCTCAGTTGCAAAGGCGATGTGGGATTATTCAAATAAGTCGATGATGCGTTTTTTTGAGGGCTCGATGATGCGTGTTCCCGCAAGAAAAACAAAGCCCTCGAGTAGTACTGCTCGTCCAACCAGCGACGCGGGCCGGTCAGGTGAACCTGGCTGTCCCGTCTGGCCCACATGGCCCATGGCCCAAATTCTCCACAGAGAAGAGATGACCATAATTAGAGTTCCTCAAAAAAAAAAGGTAACCATAATTAGAGTATAAGATTGCCGGTCTGTTTCTCCTTTTACACTCACGAGCTTTATTTTGTGCTAAAAACTCAGGAGCTTTATTCTTCTCTAGATGTAGACTAAAAGCGTTAAAAAACACCTAAAAAGCTTTTGAAAAATGTAGACTCAAAAAATTCTTCGCATGCCTGCATTAATTACAAGGTGGTGATCTAAGCCTCATGGATGCGACT